ATATAAGTAGTGACCTAAACCCAAGGGTGTTTAGATAGCTTGAGAATGGTCCTTTTAAAAATAAAAAATAAAAAAATCAGTCCAAGTGTTGGAATAAAATTAATTGCTTCGTCATCATCAGGGTCCTTACTTAAATAGTGAACTAAGCACCAAAGGATCCTTAGATAAGTCCTTATAAAATGGTCCCTATTTAATTAGTTTTAAGTTTTTATAAAAATTACCTTGTTATCTATACCTTACACTAAGTGGTGATATGAAAGATGGGACTGTTTCGCCGTGGACCTTTCTTGTTTAAGTTTGGAAGTCCATACCAACTTGGCCACTCATACTATGGGCTTCCACAAGAGTTTATACCAAGTGCAGAAACCTTTGGTGTATCCATCTCCTGCTGCAAAATTTTACCCTCAGAATGAGTAGTTGTGCTCCTTAAATAGACTACGGGTGGCATGATCATGCTACCGTAGTATGAGGATACATTTTATCATGACAAAAACTCTTTTGGTAAAGCTCAGGAACAATGCTATAATTGATCCGTTCTAAAGTTTTTCTAGTTACTGGTGTGAGTTGCAGCCTCATTCAATTTTGGACGAGTATATTCTGTCAAGTTGCTAACGTGTCTTTACCTTTTTTGGAGTAACAGGGAGTCCATGACATATTTCAAGGTTCTCCAGATCGGCCATGGAAGTCGGATGAACCAAGAACAAACAAGATAGTATTTATAGGGAAGAACTTAGATGCTAAGGAATTAGAGGAGGGCTTCAAAGCCTGTTTAACATAAATACCAGATTCTGGTTTGCTATTCTGTAAGAGGTTGATGACAAATAATGTGAGTGTTACTGTTAATTGATCAAGGGAGACAGGAAATTTAAGCATTGAGAATACAAATGAATTCTTTCTGTTATGTACCCTTTTCAGCGTAGCGTCTCTGTAAAATGATAAAATAACAAATATATTATGTTTTCATAGCTTCAGTCGTAAGTTACGCGTAATAATTGTTTTCCATTAATCTTTGTTTTGCTTTGGAGAAAAATTTTGAACCGGATTTTAATGATTAACCATTGCTGAATTCTGATTTTGGTTCTTGTAATATATTTAACCTTTAATTAATAAAAATATGCATTTTTTTTTAAAATTGATGATATTTAGATTATCTTTAGAACTATATTATCCTCAAAAATTAAATAACAATATAAGTTTGACATTAATTATGGATGATTAAGTAGTGTTACAATTGCTAATGTAATAAATTTTCACAAACGGAAAATAAACGGTAACGTTCCCATTCCGTCGGGTCGAAGTTTTGGGCCAGACCGAGCCCAAACCACAATAAGATGGGCTCCTATTATTGTCCCGCAATTTAGGAACACCGCAGCGGCTGCTCGTCGCCGGGAATTACTGCTGTGAACTCTGCAATTACACAACCAGGAATTAGTGTCTGCAATTTATCTCCATAGAGTACGCAGACCCCGTAAATATGGTATGCGTCTTCCTCATTTCTCTTTCAGTTCCAAGTTTATCTTTTACGATTCTGTTATTGATTCTACTGTTTGAAGCGTTTCACTAGGTTTTTCTAAAGATTTATTCACTTTATTCGCTATTAGCTTTGTTGATTGTTGTGCACAGTTTTTGGGTCCTTTATTTCATGGACAATGTCACTGAGTTAGAAATTGATTTCCGTTTTAGAGTGTTGAATAAGATTCAAGCTCAACTACAACTGTCTTAACACACCATCCTTCTTGTTGCAGGAGATGGAGGATGAGGATAATTATGTTGAATATGTACCAGTTGCAAAGCGCCGAGCGATTGAGGCTCAAAAGATCCTTCAGAGGAAGGGAAACTCTTCTGTCTTGGAAGAGGAAGAGGAAAAATCGAAGCTTGTTGAGGCTAAGCCGAGTTTGCTTGTGATGGCCACCCAGCTGAAGAAAGAGCAACCTGAAATTAGTCCTACTGAACAAGTAGTCTTGCAAGAGAAGGAGATGATTGAGCATTTATCTGATCGGAAGACGCTAATGTCTGTTCGCGAATTAGCTAAAGGTATTACTTATACAGAGCCTTTGTTAACCGGTTGGAAGCCACCATTAGCCCTTAGACGGATGTCAAAGAAAGCCTGTGATGCCATTCGGAAGCAGTGGCATATTATTGTGGATGGCGAAGATATTCCTCCACCAATAAAGAATTTCAAGGAAATGAGGTTCCCTGAACCCATATTGAAGAAACTTAAAGCGAAGGGGATTATTCAGCCGACGCCAATCCAAGTGCAGGGCCTTCCTGTTATTTTATCAGGTCGGGATATGATAGGTATAGCTTTTACAGGCTCTGGAAAAACATTGGTTTTTGTTTTGCCACTTATCATGGTGGCTTTGCAGGAAGAGATTATGATGCCTATTGCTCCTGGGGAAGGGCCTCTCGGTTTGATTGTTTGTCCATCTAGAGAGCTTGCAAGACAGACGTATGAAGTTATAGAACAATTTTTAGAACCGCTCAAGGAGTATGGTTACCCTGAATTGAGGCCTTTGCTATGTATTGGTGGAGTGGATATGAAGTCCCAAATTGATGTTGTCAAGAAGGGAGTGCACATTGTTGTTGCCACACCTGGAAGGCTCAAAGATATGTTAGCAAAGAAGAAAATGAACCTTGACAATTGCAGGTAAAGACCTAATCTTGTAGATCCATTATCGAGGTAGTATTTTGTGATATCTATTTGGTTGTTGTCTTGTTTTTCTATGTATAGGCCTAAATGAACCATTCTATGTAACACAAACTCTCAAGACCATACAAATCAGGAAAAACGTTTTGATTATTCTTCAGCTGTTCATCCAGTGTGTTTCTATGCTTTGGATATAACGTGTTCATCTGGGCTTGTATGGTCTAGAGAGTTTGTGTTGCATAGAACGATTCATTTACTTGTACCTAACTTCTGATCAATCAAGTATTTGGGGTTGCCTGTCCTTATCATCAGTTGTCAGGTCTTGCTTCTTTCCTGCTGGTTTGCTGTTCCACATAATATGTGGTACTGTTTATGTCTACCCCGTGCCTTCGAGAGTTCACATACATATATAGATGGAAAACTGTTTTTGGGAGTGCTTTGTTTACAACATGGGTACCTCATTTTTCAGCCAAAATCAATTTTAAACAGTGGAAATTACTGAGCAACTGCTAAATGCTAATTCGAGTCATGCACTTAAAAATTGTATATGTCTGTATATTACTAATCCCGTTAGTTGATTTGTTTCTTTTTCATTACTGTTTTACAATGTATATCTGCCAAGTTTGTTGTGCCTACCGTACTGCTGGTTCTTTGCAGATACTTGACACTGGATGAAGCAGATAGATTGGTCGATCTCGGTTTTGAAGATGATATTAGGGAGGTGTTTGATCATTTCAAAGCTCAAAGACAAACTCTTCTATTTTCTGCTACAATGCCCACGAAGATCCAGAATTTTGCACGAAGTGCATTAGTTAAACCAATAACTGTGAATGTGGGGAGGGCTGGAGCAGCTAACCTTGATGTGATTCAGGAAGTGGAGTATGTAAAGCAGGAAGCCAAGATTGTTTACCTTCTCGAGTGCTTGCAAAAGACTCCACCGCCGGTTCTGGTTTTCTGTGAGAACAAGGCTGATGTGGATGATATCCAAGAATATCTTCTCTTAAAAGGAGTTGAAGCTGTGGCTATTCATGGAGGCAAGGATCAAGAGGATAGAGAGTATGCAATTGCAACATTCAAATCAGGCAAGAAAGATGTTCTAGTTGCCACCGATGTTGCCTCTAAGGGGTTGGATTTTCCTGAGATTCAGCACGTAATTAACTATGATATGCCTGCCGAAATTGAAAACTACGTGCATCGGATTGGACGAACAGGAAGATGTGGAAAAACAGGAATCGCCACAACCTTTATCAACAAGAATCAAAGCGAAACAACTCTCCTTGATCTGAAACACTTGTTACAAGAAGCAAAACAAAGGATCCCTCCTGTCCTTGCAGAGCTAAATGACCCTATGGACGACGTTGAGGCAATCACGAATGCAAGTGGAGTAAAGGGTTGTGCATATTGTGGTGGGCTTGGTCATCGTATCCGTGACTGCCCCAAGCTAGAGCACCAAAAGAGCGTGCAGATAGCCAATTCAAGGAGAGACTACTTCGGTTCTGGAGGTTATCGTGGAGAAATTTAATTCCCTTGCCACATATATCTTCCATCTCTTTGTAGCTTGATGGTTGTTACTACTGATAGGTTTCTCAATGTAAAATGTAATATTCATGGTTAATTTAAAATTTGTTTCTTGAACAGTCTTGGATGTTTAACTTTTTGCTCCAGAATCCCAGATGTATCTTAACGTTAGACAGATTGTGAACGTCTATTTTATGTGATCAATATTTATGTTCACTTTGGATCATATTACAAGAGTTGAGGATTGTAAAAACTTGTGGACTATTTCCATAGGTAGGCTGAACTTTCTTGGTTGTGCATGACTAAGAAATTGATGATCATTCTACCAGAAAGAAACAATTATGTATTGATGCAATCATCATCTCATGACCAAATCCTGATCTATCAAGGGACTTGATAGTACAACAAAATATGAATCTCTTTTCTGTTTTCACTTGATAAAAATGTAGTAGAATCAGGCGTACCCCATAAAAAGAGAGAATAAAATAAAAATAGAGACCTTAAAGACAAGCCAAAGGCAACAAATCTAATAAATTGGATGACCATTTCGTAGTTCATGTATACCAATATATTGAATAACTAAATCCAACAAAGAGCATTTAAGCACAAAACAAACATATCCTTAAGCTATAGTAATTTTACAAACACTGGAAACCAATGCATATGGACAAGCAAAAGCATATACTTGGCCAGCCATGAAAATGACTCCAAGATTATATAATACATGGACTTGAACCTATATAAACTCTGATATCCCTCTTCTTTTTTTCATCAAACAAGTGCTCTCCCCCTACAAGAAATACTACTCTTTTTTTCTTCTCAGAATCGAAACAATATGGCTGTCACCACCTTCACTGAGGAAAACACTTCTCCACTCCCACCCAAAAGAATATTCAAGGCCTCCATTGTTGATTCTCATAACTTGATCCCAAAGTTGATGCCACAAGCTATCAAAAGCATTGAAGTTCAAGGTGATGGAGGTGCTGGAAGCATCAAGACCATCAATTTCCCTGACGGTACAATCATCATATCACTCTTCTATTTTTGTGCAATTGCTTAGTAGACAACATTTCTGAAGACAATGATAACTCTTATTTTTGTGTGTGTAGGTGGAAATTTTAAGTCCATAAAGTATCGCGTTGATGAGCTTAACGAGGAGGCATACACATACAAGTACACATTGATCGAAGGTGATGGACTGGTAGACAACCTTGAGAAGATAACTTATGACGTGAAGTTTGAGCAGTCAGCAGATGGTGGTTCCATCTCTAAGGTGACTAGCTCATACTATACTGTGGGAGATTTCAAGCTCAAGGAAGAGGAAATCAAGGCAGGCAAAGAGAAGGTTTTGGCGATGTTCAAAGCTGTAGAAGCCTATCTCCTTCAGAATCCTGAAGCATATGCTTAGAAGTTAGAGGGTTGCTATGATATGGGATGGTTGTTTTCTCTCTGAGTCCTAAGTTTGTCTTTCATGTTTGTGGAAGCAATAAGTATCTTCTGGTGTGCAATAATGTTGTTTTGCTGTTTTTTATGTTTGAAGTAGTGATAATCTTAAGTTTTTTTTTTGCTGTACCAGTCTTCTTTTTCATGTGTCATTGCACATTTGCTCGGAAAGTTGAAAGAGATTGAGTAATGGTTGATGACTAATTGAATTCAGAATCCTTACATTGAGAATGTATAAACTAGCTACAACAATAGCTTCTTTTTTTCAGATTCTGTAATGCATAACAGCTTATTCCTTAAATGAGTCCAAAAAAAAAGAAGTGGAAATATGAAAATGATCACTCTAGTAACAGTGACAATAACGCGTCTAGTCAAAGTACATATGACTTCGGATAATGAAATTGTTGAGACATAATATAATTAAGAAGATAAGTGTGGTCTCTGTAATAGTTCAACTTTTTAGATGAGACAGTCACACAATTCTAAAGACAAAGTCTCGAGTTTCAAATCTCACTATCAAAATAAAAAAAGAAGACAGTAGTTACTATAAGTATAAAAAAGAACCTTTTCTTTTTCGAATTCCTATGATGCAATTGAGGCTTATCGGCAGAAACAAATCAATTTAGATAGTCCTTTGTGGCTCCCCACCTAAGGAGCAAAAATGATATTTTCACGTGTTAGTAAATTGCAGCCTCCAGGCCATCGAATCTTCTCAGACAGATGGAATCATTGATGTGAAAATTCACATTCACATTCACATCGAGTAGCATCCTGGAAAACAGCCTCTGAAACTCTCAGTTCTCTGCTGACAACTGCTGGATATGATTATTCACAACAGAAATTATGGGAGTCGATGTCCTTGACCTGTACAGGAAAATAACACAAGTATATATATAACAACATCAGGCAACAAACTGCAGTTCAATAGAAACAAGCAACAGTAATTGCAGCAATAAGATTTATCTTATTAATACCTTTGGTTATCTGAATGCAGCCTGAACTACCTTGACGCAATCATGAATGCAAGTGGAGTAAAGGATTGTGTATATTGCGGTGGGCTTGGTCATTGTATCCGTGACATCCCCAAGCTACAGCACCAAAAGAGCGTGCAGATAGCCATTTCAAGGAGAGACTACTTCGGTTATCGTGGAGAACTTTAATTCCCTTGCTAAATGTATCCTCTTCTCTTTGTATCTTGATGATAGTTACTACTAATAGGTTTCTCAATGTAAAATGTAATATCCATGGTTAAATTTAAAGTTGTTTCTTGAACTGTTTTGGATACTTTTTACTCCAGAATCCCAGATGTATCTTGGGATCTTAACTTTACACAGACGTGTACGTCGATTTTATATTATCGATATTCATCCTCACTTTGAATCATATTAATAGAGTTGAGGATTGTGAAAATCGTAGACTATTGCCCTAAACTGGATTTCTACTGCATTTGAACTTCCTTGATTGTCCATGCCTAAGAAATGATGATTATTCTGTCAGAAGAAACAATTATGTATTGAGGCAATCATCCTCTCATGACCAAATCCTGATTTGTCAAGACATTAGGCAGTACAATACAAACTATTTTTTTGTTTTCACTTGATAAAAATGTAGTAGAATTAGGCATACCCTATAAATGAGGGGAAAAAACCTTAAAAGACAAGCCAAAGGCAAAATTCCTTATAAATTGGATGACCATTTCCTAGTTCATGTATACCAAATATATTGAATAAGTAAAACCAATAAAGAGCATCTAAGCACCAGACAAACATATCCTTAAGCTATAGCAAAACCAATGCATATGGACAAGCAAAAGCATATATTTGGCCTGCCATGAAAGTGATTACAAGATTATATAATTCATGGACTTGAACCTATATAAACTCTTAAATCCCCTTCCTTTGGTATCAAACAAGTGCTCTCCCCCTACAAAAATCCCACTCAATTAATTTTCATCTCAGAATCAAAACATTATGGCTGTCACCACTTTCACTGAGGAGAACACTTCTCCACTTCCCCCAAAAAGAATATTCAAGGCCTCCATTGTTGATTCTCATAACTTGATCCCAAAGTTGATGCCACAAGCAATTAAAAGCATTGAAGTTCAAGGTGATGGAGGCGCTGGAAGCATCAAGACTATCAATTTTCCTGACGGTACAATCACCAATATTATTCTTTTATGTTTTGTGCAAAGTATTCTGATTAGTACTCAAGGTTTATCTTAATTAATTCTTTTTGTGCATGTATAGGTGGAAATTTTAAGTCCATAAAGTATCGTGTTGATGAGCTTAATGAGGATACATACACATATAAGTACACATTGATCGAAGGTGGTGGACTGGTAGACAACCTTGAGAAGATAACTTATGATGTGAAATTTGAGCAGTCAACAGATGGTGGTTCCATCTCTAAGGTGACTAGCTCATACTATACTGTGGGAGATTTCAAGCTCAAGGAAGAGGAAATCAAGGCAGGCAAAGAGAAGGTTTTGGCGATGTTCAAAGCTGTAGAAGCCTATCTCCTTCAGAATCCTGAAGCCTATGCTTAGAGGGTTGCTATGTTATGGGATAGTTGTTTTCTCTATGAGTCCTAAGTTTGTCTTTCATGTTTGTGGAGAAATAAGTACCTTCTGGTGTGCAATAATGTTGTCGGCTGTTTTCATGGTTAAAAGTATTGATTAACTAAAAAATTTCTTCTGTGCCAGTTTCATTTTCATTTGTCATTTCACATTTGCTTGGAAAGTTGAAAGAGATGAGTAATGGTTGATGACTAAACGAAGTGAGAATCCTTACATTGAGAATGTAGAAACTAGCTACAACACTAGCTTCTTCTTAATTTGCAGATTATGTAATGCATAACAGCAGGCTTCTAGTGAAAGTATATATAACTTCAGATGATAAAATTGTTGAGACATAATATAATTCAGTAGATAAATTAAAGTGTGATATCTCTAATAGTTAAAACTTTTTAGACGAGACAGTCACACAGTTCAACATGGCAACAAATCATACAAAAAGTCTTGAGTTTCAAATATCACCGCCACCTAAGAAGCGGTGTTTGGTATCTGAATAAAATGAAATCAGCACCACACATGAGGAGAAAATGCAGCTTCCAGGCCATCAAATCTTCACAAACAGGCGGAACCATCTACCTGAGAATTCAGATACACATTCAGTAGCATCTGAAGCTCTCAGTTTTCTGATGACAACTGCTGGATTTGATTCTTCACGTAGAATTTGCAGGAGTCCATGTCGTTGACGCTGTACAGGAAAAGAACATTAGGCAACAAACTGCAGATCAATAGAAACAAGCAACTTTAATTGCAGCATCAAACAATATCTTATTAATACCTTCGGGTATCCGAAGGCAGCCTGAAATTCGTTTTGAACTTCATTTACTAACTTTCTTCTTTCTTCCACACCTTCCAAAAAAACTACCTTGAGAATCTCTGCTTCATCTTCAAGAACTCTCAATCTCTTATCAAGTAGTTTAACTTGTTCAGCATGCACAAGCTCCTTATTGCTGTAATTAGCTTCTTCTGCATAAAAATTCCTTGATGAACTTTCAGCCAAGTGATGCGAGTACGCGATGGATTTTCCCTTGTGGCCTGATGACATGCTGGCTGGCCTTGTAAGCATATTGGCGGATAGATTCTTTCGGCTTCAATTTATTCAATTTTCAAAATTTCTAGCATATAATATTAACTGATAATTGCACGGTAGAAAACCGGTAAACGAAAAGGATTTGTCTTGAAGCTGAAATTAGGAGGGTCAGATTTCTCCCATTCAAAGAAAGAGGCAAATTTTGGATGCATATAATCAGAATTCAGAAGGCATCAATGAATGGCAGTAGCTTTAATTAGCAGTAACTCATTCTATTTTTGGCAATTTTTAGAATGATTTGTTCAAATTAATCACCCATTCTTTCATTGGGCCGTAGTTCTAACAATTGACAGTTCCTGAGCCTGTGTGCATTATTGGGATCTGAGTCTTATTTATTGAGCTCAAGCTGAGAGTGTGATATACTCATTCATTCTGCGTTACTTCTACAACAGTGTAACCCCACAAGTGAATCTAATAAGAGTGATGTGTACTCAACCTTATCCCTACCTAGTGAATCAAGATAGGTTATTTCTGATAAGCCATCAGCTCAACTAAAGCATATCAAAACCAAGTATGAATTACAAATCTCATGTTCTGCATTTCAGTACAAATATTTTTAAGTGAAAGACAATTTGACAGGAATTATGTGTATGTTAACTTGTTCAAGAACAGTATGCACTTCACTCGACTAGCTCAAGATGCACCACACTAGGTTCAATCAAGGAGAACTCTGCTCGAAACATCTTCGAAAAAATACACAGATCGTGAGACATGAGATATTATAGCATATTCTAGATCTTTTTGAATAAACTGAGTTTTTATCTTTAATTACACGGTGGTTTCTCTGTTTCTGACCCTGCGCCAACAAGGGGAGAGGAAATAGAAAGAGAGTAACGGAAAAAAAAGACAGCAGGAGATTGCAGGGTGCACGAATTCAACAAGACGTGTACACAGAGACATCTGAATTGTAGTAAATGCAGGTGTAACTAGTCAATTGGTACTTCAACCTCCATCTTCAAACCAGGGTGGTCCATGATCTGAAACATAAGCCAACACAAGTACAAAGCAATAAGGAGAGAGAATATGAGCACTAAAACGAGAAAGATAGCTTGAGCAAATACAATCATACAGTTTATCTTCCCAACCCGCTTCAAGTTATCATGACAAGTTCACCGATCTAACAAAAGCAATTTATAAAACGAATCTAAATGATAGTGGCTCCATAACTGCATGTTTTACTTTAATAAAACGAAATAGCATCAGAAGCATATCCATTGTGACAAGGGCCTTGCCTTGCCTTGCACCATTACAGTGTCTCTCAATGTGAATCTTTTAAAAACTTCACTACATTAGAATGCTTCTGAGGAAGGACGCCATTTCTTAATTGTGACATCTAATCTTCTTTCTTATTAACAGGCTTCCCCACCCCACCCAAAAAAAGGACCTATCTCCCCACAAAACATTAGTTAATAAAAACCACTTAAATTTTTTTATTCTCGGTCCAGAAAATATGAATTAACCTTAATGAAGTCATTCAACAGCAGTAATGAGTCTCTTGTATAACCAGCCTCGTGCAAGACCTGGCTCAACACTTCCTGCAATCCAGATCAAACGCAGACGACGAACTCATCATATTCATTATTCAAAAGCTACATGAAGTGGCAACTGATAAACCATGTCTGCATAAGGCAGGAAGCTACAAAATCACATGAGATTCAGAAAGTAAAATGTTCTTTACTCGAGGATAGAGCCTGGCTGATTTAAAAGATGCAAAGAAAATACTCAAAATTACAGTGCATGTGAATGCAGCAATGTATCAGCAAAAAATGTCTAGCAAATCATGAGGAACTAAACCAACCAATGATATAATGGTAAGTCATGTACCCAAATACATCCAAAGTTTGAATATTAATATGTGAATTGATGACTATGCTCATTTATTCTTTAAAAAATTCCTCTAATGGTCCTTTTTGAACAGATAATGGCAAATAACCACCTTCAGAATTTCTCAATCACAAGCACGATACTTTATTTGCAGACGTGAATTATTGAACTTCTCTATCACATATGGCCAGCCTTCTTGTCATTTTCCTCCTCCATTCCGACCTAGATAAACAATACTATAAAGGAAAAGAGCAAGACTACAACTCAGAAGCTACTAAAGAAGGAAGTGCCACAAGTTCTCGAAAGAAAAGCTGGCCCATCATGAGCTAGAACCAACGTCAAATCTATGTAAAGTATCAGTTCATGACTCCACTAACTACATTTGAGAGCCTTACATTAGAACACTGCAATTTTGACCTTTAAATCAAAACATATGTGTACACAAGATTCTACGGAACCACAAGTAAAGTGAGAAAAGGTTTCAAAGAAGACAGACAAGTAAAACAGTGGCACATGTACTATTAAAATGCCCAGACTGATATTCTCAGTTTACACTTTTGACGTGTTTTATAAACTTCTTGGGTTACTCTTTTGGCAGAGTTATTTATTAGTTATGGTCCTTTAAATAAAACGAGCACAAGCAAACTATCGTAGTTAAGATATTAAAGATTATAACGCACTTACAACCTCAAATAGAATAATTAAAATTTATAGAGTATTATGCTACTTCAACACATGATACATACCATGAGTGAAGTTGATGAAGTCTAGTGTATATCCAAACTCCTCTTTAAGGAGCTACAAATCTTTTACAGGAACACTCATCTTGATCAAGATGTACAATCTCCATCGCTTTGGTGAAATATGAACAAGGTAAATGATTTTGACACACTTTTGTAACTTTACAGAATCTTTCTACGTTGGATTTATTAGGGTTTGCCCTGAATGTCCTAAATCTGAATTCTAAGAAATTTGTGTTTCATTCAAAAAGGTTTTCTTGGTGGAATTCTTGGAGGAAAAGTTTAACTTCTATAAATTGAAGATCAGTCTTTCCCACAATAACACAATAGCATCCACAATATAGTCATTATAAGAGTGTTGCTTAGGGAGAGATTTTCTCTCCAATAGTTTATATAATTTCTTTTATGTTAATTTCTCATATGTGTAGGCTAATTGGTTTAAACCATATCAAAATAATATGTTTCTTCTAATATACTTTTCTTTGTCTCTTATTTATCGTCGTCAAGATTTGCAATTGTTAGTTTCCGCATGACGCCCTGATTATTTTGATCCCAATAGAATTAGGATACTATTTATACATCTTGTACAAATGGAGAACTTTCTTAATTCTGTTTTTGTGAATAAAACTCAGTATCAAAAAAGAAAAGGAGTGAAAAGGATAATAGATGTAACATACCTCTCTTTGCTTGTCAGAAATGAATGATCCAGTTAAATCCCGAAGCACTTCCATTATGTCATCAAAAGTCACCTTCCCGTTGCAATCAGAATCATATACTTTGAAGATAACTAAAACAACATGGTAGGTGACGAAATCGGTAAGTACTAAAAAGGGGCAAAAGTTGGTAAAAAATTGTAGTATTAAGTAAATAACAAATCTCTTGTTTCAACATTTCAGTAATAAAAGAATCTGAATAATTATTGCTATAAGAGCCCTTCTTCAATATGACTGGTATGTTACCACCACCTCTAGACCTTCTACTATAAGTCCCCTAATCCTAGAAAGACTAAAACAAAATCATTCAATGGCACTGATGGATCTTCTGTTACCACAGTAGCAAATGCACAGTTTACCAAATAACAATAGGAAGAGAATCTTATAGAAATCTGCTTAAAACTACAGAACAGCTATCAGGGATAGTAGTATGTCTAAGATGTCACCAAGTGTAAAAAAATTTTAGCACAGTCCTCCTCCTACACAACATGTTTTTCCTTAAGTTGCAAAGATACAACACATCTAAAGATTTAACAACGTACGTTCAATTTTCTGTGCCACGCTAGCTTTAGCACTGAAAGTTGATAAAAATGCCACAAAGTCCTTGAAGTTCAAGCCATCCACCATCTTAAGCAATCTCTGTAAAGATGTATTTCCCATTATTATTGAACACAGAACAGACCAACAAGACACAAAAAAAATAGCAATTATTTTTCATAACAGTGGAGCCCGGGGTCAGCTTGCACAAATCTAATAGTTAAGAGCAAAACAAAAAATTATAAGCACACCTGAGAGAGTGGATTCATTGCGAACTCTGGCACAGAGAGAAACTCATCAGCTGATATAAAACCCTTTGAATTCCGATCAAGTTGGCAAAACCTCTGATACAGTGACACAATTTCCTGCTGTGCAACTGGATTTTTAAAAATCCCAATTAGTAAGCTGTGCAAGAAATATGAATAAGAAGAAGACAATAGATGAGTAAGAAAAAATTACAGAGATGATCGCAGTGGTCTTGGACATCCTCAATATCATATTGAGTCAACATCGAAGAAGCATTACCCATGGTCAAATCTCAGCAGCAAAACTACAAATCCCATCAAATTAAGAGAAACCCATTAAGCAAAATCAGATTTTTCATCAGAAATCAGAAACCCACATACGATTTGTAAAGAATGAAATGGGGATTACCTCAAGTTCCGAAGAGAGACGGGCGAACGATAAAGGCAACCACGACGAAGGGGAGTAATAAATTTTATAGTGGCGGAGTGTGTGAATCTAGCTCTAGGATTGAGCAAACTATGTCATCAACAAGAAACTAATAGCGACCTAGTTTGGCTGTACAGTACTGCGTGACGGGGAATTTGATGTCTGCCTATCAAACTTATCACCCCTCTTAAAGATTCCTGATCTGGCAGCAGTATTATTTATTACTGCATTTATGGTCAGGTGGTCTTTCTATTGGTTCTCCAGACCAGAAGAGAATAACTAAATTGAGATGTAAAAAAATATTTCAAAGTGATTTTTTATCGTTATGTCAATAAAAAAATGTCCTTTTGATAAATATTTTTATCAATTTGAGCGAGATTTCTAGTGAAATGAAATAGACTGAGCTAATAAATGTGTAAAAGCTTAAACAAGTTAGGCATATTATAATTTCATGGACTAATTTTACCCATCTACTTTGAACCAACTGAATGAATTGCTTTGACTATTAAGCAGTCAAATTCAAAGGGAGCTGAGGAATATACCTTGAAAATTGACGCCTGATTGTTCTAGTAGATGGTAAAAAAATGCAGTAAAGGGTCGAAGCGAGATGGTGCACCAAGTACTCACCAAGCTTAGAGATCCAATATATATAGAATTGTTCACCTTTTAATAGGTCGAAGGCAAAACATTACAACTTATTAACCATTCCCCTTTACTTCTCTAGTATTCTATAACTTGCCAAAACAGAAGAATTGAAGTGCCCTAAGTATTAAGGTCAAATGATTTAGGCAGAAGCTGAGAGCGAATGTCTTGTTGTCTAGTTGTTTTATCACAGTTCAAGTGTTCTCATATCTCAAGACCACATCTGGAAATGGGCTCCTGATTTCAAATATATATATATATATAATTAAAAAATTACAGAACACGGAAACACTTTCCAATGAAACAACAGAATGAAAAGTAAGTTTGACATTATACTTGCGCGCACACGGAGGGGAGAATGGGACTAGTGAT